GTGTGGAACAACTTGTCATAGTGAAAAGGAGCTCAGAGGGTCTCACCAGAAAGGCCAGAACAGCCCAATAAGTCCATCTTACCAGAACAACACAATAAGCCCAAACCTGATATTCTACCTGCTTCACATATAAGGCCCACCAACCATGACATAAATAAAAAGGAAGAAAGGACTCAGTGATTTTTTTTCTGTTAGAGTAAAACATATTGTAGCCACTTTAAGTTAGTTAGTTACGTGAACAGATCTAGCTGAATACATGTATAAGCACTGAGTGTATTAGATTCATTTGAGTAAGGATAAGTATAATTTTCTCTCCGTTTTCTCTCTTTTCTCTCATTCACAAGATGGTATAAGAGCATTGAGTGCTCTGATATCTGCTTTATAATTATTTTTTCATTTGCTCTGTGATTGTTGAACATAGCGAATCAAGTTGTTCTACCTGAGTTCTTGACCAATCCTGTGCATCCTTTCTTTCTCCATCCAATTGAGAGTCTGTCGCAAGTGTTGGTGACTCTTCTATTAGATGGAAACAATTACCATTCTTGGTCTCGAGCTACGACTATGGCTTTGAGATTCAAGAACAAACTTGGCTTTATCAACGGTGTTATTGTAGCTTTGAGATCCATCCTTTGAAGCTTGGGATCGATGTAATACTATAGTTTTGGGTTGGATTCATAGATTGATCACTCAAACTATAGCACAATCCATATTATGGATCGAAAATGCTTTTGATGCATGGCATGACTTGAGAGGTAGGTTCTCAAAATCAGATATATTTTGAGTATCTGATCTGCAAAAAGATGTGCATAAACTGTGCCAAGGTGAAAGATCAGTAAGTGAGTATTTTACTCAATTGAAAATAATGTGGGATGAATTGGAGAATTTGAAGCCTATTCCCAATCCAGTTGTTCCTTGTATTTGTGGTGCAACTGAACGAATGCGATTGTATCGTGATAATGATCAGACCATAAGGTTTCTCAGAGGTCTCAATGACCAATATGCTCATGTACATTCACAGTTGACGCTACTTGATCCATTACCAAATGCAACCAAAGCATTTGCAATGGTACCACAACAGGAACGTCAGTTTCTTTCAAAAGGTAATATGAACTTCTCCAATAATCCTCAAGCTTTAGCGGCAATGGGAGATTCATCAAGAAAGAACAATTCCTATAATTCCTTCTATGGTGGACAAGGCTTTAGAGGACGTGGTCGTGGTATTGGTGGACGAAACAATGGTAGTAAAAAATTCTGCACTCATTGTAATAGAAACAATCACATTATCGAGACATGTTATACTCTTAATGGTTTTTCACCTAGCTATAAAAGGAACAAACACTCAGCCTCAGTTGCCAATATCAATAGTAATGCACGAGAAAATATGTCCACAACTCAGATGCAACAAGATTCATCTTCTATGACAGTTATTCAAGATCAATACAAGCAAATCTTGAATTTGCTACAAAAGACCACTATTGTTGAGAATATACCATCACAACATTTTGTCAATGCAGTCCATATATCTCACCTACACACTAACACTCCTTAATCAGGCATGACAAGCATGGAATGGGTAGTTGACACGGGTGCCACATACCACATCACATACCTTTTGTCAAGTTTTTATTCTTTTTATGAAATTGATCCCATCAACATCTCTCTTCCTAATGGTTCCACAGTAAAAGAAAATATATCTGGAACTGTTCTTTGAGTGTAATTAGATTCATTCGAGTAATGAGAAGCATATTTTTCTCTCTTCTCTCTATTTTCTCTCATTAACAAGAGAGGGTGAAAATCTATGGACAGAAGATGCATATCAAAGAATCTCAACAAATGAATACAGGGCCAATTGGAGTGGGTGTACCCCGAATTGTTCCATTTGTAAAAGAATATATACGGTGTATTGATGCACCACACTATATTTTATTAGTAAAATATAATATAAAATATAAAAGTTATTTTTTTCTCTAATACAATGCACGTTGACATGACGCACTTCTATTGGTGCAATATACCTGCCCATGTAGCGTAATAGATTTTTCGCATTTGTAGAACTGGCAGGGAAACTATGCTACACGTATTTCGTGATTGTGAGCTAAGGAGAGGGATATGTGCTATAGTTTGATCCTCGTGCAATAGGGAAATTGGTTCTTTGAATTTGACCATAATGAGTAGATGGTAAGAAATTAGAAATTATTCAAAGTGGGATTTAAGACAATTCTCTAAAGTGACTCCATTAACCTAGCCACTAAGCTTTCTCAAAAGGGGAAAGAATCTTGTGAGTCTCTCATCTAGACTGGGATTTGAGCGTGGCTACAAAATAATTGGACAATGAAAGTGGGGACAATGACCAATGTACCACACATTGGTCACTTTTGTACCAGTATGCCACACAAACAATAATATTTGCAGAAATGCCACGTGTCCGAGTTCGCTACAGCAGGCAGCGAACTCGATTTGCTGATGTGGCGTGTTTCTGGTGGCCATCTAGTTCGCTTATGGGTGTAGCGAACTAGGTGATAATTAATACCCATCTGCTTTGATAAAAATATAACACGTGGCACTATTATAGAAGTTCGCTAGATGACCATCAGAAACACGCTACATCAGCAAATCGAGTTCCCTGCATGCTATAGCGAACTCGGACACGTGACATTTTGACAAATATTACTGTTTGCGTGACATACTGGTAAAAAAGTGACCAATGTGTGGTACACTGGTCATTGTTCCATGAAAGTGCAACGTCCATTGAGGGAGGGAAACTCAAGTGATGACTGTTAGCAAATTTCCTATTGGATCATCAAGGGAAATACACGCTCGTGGAGTTTCAAAAAATGCCCCTAGAGATGAAGTGAGTGTTTTTAGTTGATACTATATCTCTAAGCACCCCGTCTTAGGATAGGATAGGCTAGTTTTTTTTGTAGTTTGTTCTTGTGGACCCTAGCTTCTCTTATTAAAAAAAGTAAATGGAGAATTGTTTTACACTTTTATTATAAATTAGATTTTTGATAGATTGATAAAGTTAATTGACGAAGAAATAAATCCACCTAATATAAAAAAAGGAAAAAGTATTTCTCCAGTCACCGGAGATAAAGTTATCTCCAGTGAGCTCAAAACAATGTTGTTTTAAGCTCACTGGAGATAACTTTATCTCCAGTGACTGAAGAAATCTTTTACCCATAAAAAATGTTTGGGATAGGTTATTCTACCTACTCCTTTCTTGCCTACCTTTTGCATACCCCTTTCATCACCGTTGGATCACAATCTAATCCAACGATTCATAATTGCAAAATAAAATAACCCTTTTTTCTTTCTCTCTCCTCACTTCCTCCCACACCTTTTATCTCTCCTCTCCTTTCTCTCTTCCTCTGTGATCCGGACACATCCTTTTGATCTCTTGATACCTATTTTTTTTTTCCTTTATCTTTGATCTCTGCCGCAGTGAACGCGCGCGGGAGCATTATGCGATTTATCGACCACAACACTTGAAATTATAAACATAGGCAAATGAATCATTGAATAATAAGAACATGCTTGTTCGGCGTGCGTGCACTTGAGCTATCTATACAATAGGACCGTGAAAGAAAAGGAAAAAGAGAAAGGCAGAGAGGTCATGTGAACAAAATCGACACGCTTCCATTTTTATTTTCGGAGATATCCACGATTTTTGTACGAACAAACTCATTCTGAAACAGTTGTTTGTCTTCTTCAGTGTACAAATTCCCAACTTTTTCTGCTCCAATTCCCAATCTTTTTCAGTTCTAAAATTTTTCCACTATCTTACAACAATTCATCTAATTTCTTTCAATTTTGCTTGAAGAATCCCTGCGTTTTTGTTTCATGGGTTCGTTTTGGGAGCCATAGAGCGCCATGACCAAACCCAACACCTTTTTTAAAAATATCATAAAGCCCTTCAAATTCGGTTCCAATAGAGGTAAACCAACAAAATCTAACTCTTTTTTTAAATACCATTTTCTGAGTTTATTTTCTTTGAATTTATTTCCTGGTTGCTGAATTTGTTGATTATATTAAGATTCTATGCTTCCTGGGTTATTGTATCATCTCCAATTGGTGCCACGGTTCATGGATATTTTTATGGTATGGGTAGTTCGCAGAAGTCGACTTTTCGGTCTCTCCTACTCCTACACACGAAGGTCGGTTGAATAAAAGTTTAGATCTTGTTGATAATAAACCATCCTCTGATCCACAATCTTCCACAATTTCGTCTGATCTCTCTAGTGATAGCAACATAGAACAAACGGAAACTAAATCAAATTCACCAGCGATGATGAAAAAAAAAAAAAAGGACGGCATTGAGGAAGAGAGAAAGGGTGTGGGAGGAAGTGAGGAGAGAGAAGGAAAAAAAGGGTTATTTTATTTCGCAATTATGAATCGTTGGATTAGATTGTGATCCAACGGTGATGAAAGGGGTAGGCAAAAGGTAGGTAAGAAGGGAGTAGGTAGAATAACCTATCCCAAAATATTTTACCCAGTAATTAAAAGGACCTTAACATCTAATCTTTTATCTTCTAAAAAGAAAATCACTATATTAAATATCACATATTAATAGACGTTTTTATTTGAGTCTTGCAAAGTCAAATACTATTATTGAGTTGCTCAGTGTGAAAGTATATTTCTTTTTCCTTATTAAAAGCTAACTCGGTGTTATAAAAAATGAAAAAAATTATCATCTAACTTAAAAACTTTAATTGTAATATTAAATTCACCATTGACCAATAATTAATAATATATTTTTTATATACCTAATAATATTAGGTCAACATATAATCAAAATTTCAAAAAAATAGAATGAAATGTAAAATAAAACACGTAAATCTTAAAAAAAGAAAACTTGCTGTGCTCAAAGTTGCTTTTTTAAATAATTCATCTTCATTAAGCATGCGCTAAATTATTTAGTTTACATTTTATTTTATTTATTTATTTATTTATTTTGGGTACCGATTCTAGAGCCAAAAATATCCGTAAAAGTATGAAAACAAAAAAGAGAAGAGTAAAGGCCCTAAGCACAGTGGAAGGTAGCGGGAGATGATGAACAACAAGAGTGAAGACAGATTCTCCGATGACGATGTCTGGGAGGACGCCATGCTCGAAGAGTTAATCAAAACCGAAGAGCTTGTCCTCTCTTCAAAGGCAAAACCACCTTCCAACCCTTCACTCTCTCACCCTCCTCCTCTTCCTGCCATTTCCTACGTTCCTCAACAACCGCTTCGTTCCGTCGCGGTTTCTACCTGCGACGCCGCTGGCTTCTCGCCACCCCGAGAGCTTTCTCAGAGGACCACCCTTTTCGATTCTCTTCATCACTCTCCCTCTCGCCCTCCTAAACCCGATTCCGATAAAGACCTCGAAATTTCCCGCTTAAAGGTAATGTCCAAATGGGTATAAACGATTTTGCGTTTTGGGTGCACAAGCTCGAAACTTTTGCCTCTGTGCGCGGCTGTTTCGGTTGTTGGTGGAAAAGTAAATGGGTCATTGATTATGAGTTTTACACTTTGTAAACTCTTTATGTTGTCGTTTGTCTACCCTATGGATTAATCATTAGCCACGCTACATTTGAATGAACACTGTTTGATTATTTTTTACGTAATGAGTATTACTCTGAGAAACGGAAGGAGTACCTTGTGGATATTTCAGATTAAAAAAAAAAATAACTGCAATATTAGGATCCATTTAGCTAAGTTAGAAGGATTTAGTTGTGTTATTGGAAGTCGAGGTTAATCAGACAGAAAAAATATAAATAACCATTCTTAAGTTTTATCAGTGATATCCTGTCACTTAATTTAAGATATTTTAGGCATCTTTTCCATGTACATCCAAGTTTTGAAACTTTCAAGTTTCTTTTTGTATTGTTTTTCCTGTTATGTTGTGTGTTTTGGAAATGTTAAGTGCGGAAAAGGGTCTTTTCTAAAAAACGGCCCGCTTGCATCATGTACTTTCAAAATTTAAATAACAAAGATTCACTTTAGCTTTTCTTACGCTGAATTTGGTGTTGTTTGGTTGATGGCAAGAACAGAGGGAGCTGGGACGTGCAACAAAGCAGATTGCTAATCTGGTATGCTGGTTGCAACTATACACATTCTTTTTGTTCTCGTTTTGTAACTGCTTCAAAATTCTGATTCTGGAAGTCAGTAAAATGATGCTATGATTTAGTTGCATGCTTTCAGGAAAAGGAGTGTCTCAAGTTCCAGAATGAAGAAAAAAGTGGTCGTATTAAATGTTCAGAGAGCATACACAAGTAAGTCAAATTTTTTATTTTGTTTTGCACCTCATTTATAGATGACCCTTCTGGATGCTTCTCAGAATTAGCCAACAAGAAAACATAGAGTTCAGCTCTTCAATATATTGCAGCTTTATATGATAGTCGCTTATATATCTTGAATGATTTGATAGATATGCAGAAGCCATTGAAAATGAACTCATAGGGTGAAAAAGAGGCATTTGACTTTCTGTTTGGACGTTTATGAGCTTAAGCTGAAAAAAACAACAAAATTTGTAGCCTTTTTGGTGGACCTATTGGCTATCGGTAAATATTTACCTGTCTGTCTTTGTGTATAACTGTGTATCGTTTATCAATGGTCTATGGTAAGAGTGACCAGAGCTTAGTATAGACAGCCATTGCCAATTGGGTCTTGACAAATGGTCTCAACTAAACTTAGAGTTGACCTGAATAGTAATTCAATGGCTTGAGTCGAAGATTAGTCTAAATAGAGTTTAGCCCATGAGCAGGAGGTAGGCCATGATGAACAACTAATCAGTGTCTAATATGTCAGGCCTGAGATTGTCCTTTTTTTTAAAAATAAAATAAAATTCTTTCTCTATTGTCATGTTGCACTTCATGTGGCATCAATATGTTGCATAAAGTTATTATTATTATTATTATTAATGACGGACCATTATGGCAGGGATTCTGAAATTCTTGCTCTCGACTATGATAAAATCCCTTCAAAATTTCCAAACGGAGTATCTTCAAATAATCTGGCTGGTGAGGCATGAGAAAAATCTCTCTTCCACTTTTTAAAGTATTTTCTGTTTTTGTCATGGTGACAATCCCTTGACACGTTTTTGTTGCGTGCCAGTTGAGACAACTTTTAAAGCTATAGGAATTCAAACAGACATGGTTAATCATCAAGAAGCTCAAGGTTGCATATGTGATGATCTGCCTGATTATAGTGACCTCTCCCAAAAGTTGGTGGCAGTATGGGGATCTCCAACTGACAAAAAGCTGGGAACTAACGCGATATCCAAGTTGCTTGTGGGTTGTCAAAGAGATTTTCATATTCTTTTTGGCTGCATGAGCATGAGTCTGCCCTCTGAAATAACAAGAGAATTACTTACAGATATAAGCTCTTCAGGAGTAGCTTTGCATTATCTGAAGGATTGTTTTCATACAACAGAAGCAGAAAAGGTGTCACATCTTTACCTTGCATTGACAAAGGTATTAGTTCAACTACGCATTTTTGTATAGTTTCCTTTAGCATTCATCTCTGAAATTGCATAATTCTGATCCGATGGAGATATTCCACACATAAAGTGGTAGTTTGGTTTAAAAAAGTGACTGCCCTTACTATTGATTTTGAAATTTTTGGAAAAAAAAAACATGAGTTAAAAATTATCCTGGACTCTCTGAATGTTATTTGGTAGATTATTTTCTTTCCTTCCTGTTAGTTTATGCACTTGATCATTGCTTGAGATATGTGGAGGGCTTGGAGATCTCTGGTGTGCGGAATTTTTTAACAACTCATTTTTCCTTGTTTACTGTGCTATTATTAGGGGTTCATTACCCTCATTTTGTGTATTTCTATTCTCTTTTAATATCACAATGTGTTATTATTTTATCTTTTTTATTTTTTAAAGAAATCCCGGGAACTGATACCTTTTTCATGGTTAATATTCGACATGTTTACCCTTGTTAATAAGCTCGTTTCTATTGTTCAACCATGTTAGTTGAGGTTGTATGTCATCCAGTTGTATGTACTGCAGATAGCTGATGGAACATATGTGTTGGAAACTTTGATAGAACCGTTACTTGATCTCTGTGGTATGGAAAATGTAAGTACTTTTATACTAAATTTGTGAATAAATGTTCTATTTACAAACTGCTCGCTAACTTATATTACTGTTATCTGTGTGTAATCTATTTTCCTTATTAAGCTGTAGCTCTACAGAAAAATGATGTGTTAGCTATTTTTCAATGCATCCTTCTGTTTCTTAAGGATCCACCATTCCTTCCTCCTTAACTGATTAGTTTGAATAAGTTTGTCAAACACCCTCATAAAACAGTTTGCTTGTGGTACTTACTCTAAGATGCATGGTTTATCAAATTACAATGAACCTCTTGAATGATCAGTAATCCCTAATTTCATTCCTTTGGGCTGCAGAGTTTGCGGGTCCAAAAAATAAACTGTATTGTTTGAACTTTTGAATGATGTACATTGAGCATACGATGGGTTGGGATGTTGGATATTGTAAGTGTTAACCATCTCTTAGCTCAGAAACTAAGAACAACTCCCCTCAGCGTGAAGTTTGAAACATTTGAGCTTTCTACTCTATATATGCGGTATAGATGAGAGTTCTGAAATATCTGGTTTCTACTCAGTTCTGACTGTATTAAATTCATAGTAAATAGTGACAAGCACGCCTTTTTTTGCAATGCTTTGGCTTGTCCGAATACTTGTTAGTTATGATTTCTGCAAAAAGGTTTTGTATTTTAGTGAGGGCTTATTGAGTCATTATTGGCTCATGTCATTTTATGGCTCATGTCATTTTATGCTTTGATGATATTTAAAATTGAAAATGTCCGCATGCTTTAAAATTACCATATTGATTTCTTAAATTCGTAAAAGTAATTTTATCAGGCATTCTTTTCCTCTTGCTTTCTAATTTACATCCTTTGCTGACAAATTCTCCCCGTCTTGCTTAGGTTGTTATTGTTCGTAGCTCTCTATGTATTCTGCATACTCTTCTGAAGCTCCTAATGGAACTGGAAAAGAATTTTGGAAGAAGGTATGTGTTATTTGAATGATATCTTCCCTTGTTTTTGCAAACTTCATATTGATTGAATTTGTGTCCCTTGTGTTGTAAGGATAATGCTCAAACTTACCATCCTATAGTTGAACAAGTGTATTTGTGCACTGCATGAATGGAAAATGTTGTACTTGGAGAAATGATCTATTGCTTATAATTATTTCTGTACTTGTTACTTTTGTCAGTGAAACATACTCAGACAAAAATATGATAAATGTTTTGAAGAAATTATTTTTTTTCTCTCAACCCCTTCACCTATATTGTACTGGCCTTTTGGTGGTGGATGTGGGGATGGAGGGGCACTGTGGACTGCGGAAGGAACGAAGGTTCATCAGTTGTTATTTTTGTCGATTTGATCAGAATGTTTAGTTGTAGTAAGCAATACTTTAATCATGCTGCTTGCAGAAAATGCTACTGAGCCTTTGTAATAGACCATTTTTGTTCTACTTGTTTAATGTTCTGGACCCTTTTCCATTGGGAAAGACTAAGAGTCCGGGACAGGTTATGAGCTGCTGAACAGTAAATTGTATGTGAAATCACTTTTTCTTTCTTTCCTTTCTGCTGTTCCTATTCTTATGAACTTATGATTTGATCTTTCCAGTGGACTCTGCTCAGGGACAATGTCTTCATTGAAGGACTTTGCGATGGGAAGGACCTTATGGATTCTGGCAGATTGGAAGATGTAAAAGATGGGACTCTGCTCAGGGACAATGTCTTCATTGAAGGACTTTGCGATGGGAAGGACCTTATGGATTCTGGCAGATTGGAAGATGTAAAAGATGGAAAGTTCTTCAACAAAGAAATGCTAAGCAGAAAAGAGTGCTGGAACCATCAAAACGCCTTACAACCTCATGTAAATTGGCTTTATCTTTTTGAGATAATGCATCAAATTGCCATGAGGATCACAGAAGAAAGCGTGAGAGTGGAGGCAGCAACCATCATGAAGCTGGTTCTCCTGAGAAGTAATGCTTACTTTGAGAGGGAGCAGTAAGTTTTTTCAGGTTTCTGTTAAAAGTTTGACCTTTGAAGATATTATATTTATGCCAATTGAAATTTGTGTGAATACAGGTTTAGCCAGAAAATAGTTTTTAAAACCATTTCAGAATTGCTTAAGAAGGATGCTGGGCTGCGTGTTAAAAAACATGCTCTAAGACTTCTGTACCTCGTACTAAATTGTAAGTTTCCTTTAATAACCAATTTATGATAATATTTTTCATCAAATACTACATAATTCTTTTCCAGTTAAAGTATAGCTACTGTTCCTGTTAATTTCAATTTTTTTTGCAGTTACTATATATAGACTTCACATCTTAAGTCTTTTCTCATTATTTTGTAGGAAAGTAATGGCTTTGAATGAAAATAATTTATTTAAAAGCTATCATCTATTTTTTTATTCGTTGAATCATGACTGGCCATACAAAAATAATAAAGTGGAAACCTCAGTTAATTGCCTTGGATGAGATTATTTAATATTACTCCTTGTATTGCGCCCCAGGCTTATAATGACGGCATGGGAGTTTGAGCCTAAAACCTCTTGCATCAATTTTATTTGATCAAGTTATTTGTCAAAACTGACTGGCAACTTGCAAATGCGAGAGTAAATGTGGGAACAAATACAATCTCAATCAGTTCAATGATCCATGTCAACTTCAAACTTACAAGCTTTTAAATTAATAAATAGGATGTGATATGTCTAAATCCAATTCCACATGCTTGCGCATGATAAGGGTGATCAATTATATTGGTTTGGTTCGGGTATTTGGGTTAAAAGAGGGTCTCTGGTTGTGCAAAAATCAAACCCATTGAACCTGACTCGATTCAAATCCGTATTTTCCTCCACCTCTGTTTTTTTCAATTTTATTTTTGTTTTATGCATATTTTTTTTAAATATATATATATATATATATATATATATAAATATATACACAAGCTAATTTTTTAAACACTATTTTCATTTTTTATAAATAATTTTTCTAAAAAATATATAAATATAAATATAAATATATTTAAACCTGATGACCCATCCGAATCAACCAGATTTTAATAAACCTGGTCCAACCTAACCCAGACTTAGATGATTTGGACATTTTCCCCCTGAAACCCGACCCAACCAGTGTGCGGCCCTAGGACATGGCGTCTAATGCCTCTTGTCAAATCAAGTGTCTTTGGCTTGAGCATATGTTAAACTGAATGTTGTTATTTGAATGTTTATTTTAGACTCATCTGGTTGCTTATGTACAGTTCTAGTTTTAGAATTGAGGGTCAATGTCTGTCTGTATCTGCTGTTCATTCGATGCATCTAATCCTAACTTTTTTTTTAATATATTTTTCAATATCTTATTTTCATGTATTTAAGGTCCTAAATTGTTGGCCACTTTCTGCTGTGGTTGCAAAGAAGGGGATGATAGTAGTGCTATGGATGACAGTGCATCTGCTTCAGATTTCCAAAATTTTAAAATCATCCTTCAAGGATTGGCTGATTGTGTAGCATCTAATGGAGGTGGTTTACAAGTAAGTTTGCTGGCGAAGATACTTTGTCCATGTAACATTTTGAAATATTGAGGTTGAGTATTCTGATGTGATTAATTTTATTACTGTGAAAATCATTGGAAAACACAATATTTACCTATTTCAATCCTTTTTCCATGGTGAAACAATGAAACATTGTGGAACAAAACCTCTAATCAGTTAATTAGCCACACGCCTGCAACTATAAATTTCCTTTTGATTGTACAGTTGCCTCTGGATGCATCACCATTAGCTCATTAAAGCTTTGCTTCACTGATCAAAGACTGGGAGAGGAAATTTTGGGGGGGTTTTGGGGGGTGGGGGTCAGTGGATTAAGATTTAAGTTCATTTATAGAAATAGAGAAGTAGGAAATTTAAAATTAATAAGTGGAATGAAAGTAAGGACAAAATGTGTCGTGTAGCTATCTAAAATTACTCCTTTTATTTTATTTAGGGCCCGTTTGGGATCTTTAAAAAAAGATTTTTTATGCCTTAATTTTTTTAGAAAGACTTTTTTAAAAAGATAGATATTTTGCATTTGGATATAGTACGTGAAAAACATTTTTAACTAAAAAAGTTATTTAAATGTTAAAATTAAAAAACATTTTTATTTTATGTATAATAAAATTATTAAAAAGGATATGTGAAAATAAATCATAGAATTAAGATTTGGTGGCGGGGGCAATGTGGTGGTGGAGGTAGCCGGAGGTGTAGGTGTAAGTGTCGGTGATGGTGATGACAACTTGTAAAGAACCTTGGGATACACCACCCCAAAAGCTAGCTCAAGGGGTGAGAGTGCTCAAGACCTTATAAACTCCACATTAGTTGCACATACAACCAATGTGAGACTATATATCTCAACACGCCTCCTCACACGAGAGCCCATTGGGCTTGAAGAGTGGAAGATGCAACAGGCTCAGCCTACCTGTGCTAAGAAACACAAGAGAAAGTGGGGGGCGGCGAGGCTCTGATACCATGTAAAGAACCTTGGGATACACCACCCCAAAAGCTAGCTCAAGGGGTGGGAGTGCTCAAGACTTTATAAACTCCACATTAGTTGCACATACAACCAATGTGAGACTATATATCTCAACACAACTACTGCAACAATGGTGGGGTTGAGGTAAATTCATTTTGAGAAAAATATTTGGTTTTTGATTTTTTTTTTTTTTTTTGGAAGCAAGAAATTTCAACTAAAAAAAAAGCAGTATTTTGACTTCTTCATGACCTAAGGTTTTGTGTAAAAGTTTGCATCCAAACACTCATTTATAGCCAGAAACACTTTTTGAAAAAACAGCTCCTAGAGGATAAAAAACCAATCCAAACATGCTGTTATTCATTTACATGTTTGTATCCATTCTTTTTCATTTAACAAATATAAAAATAAATTAAGCACTCTTTTGGAACTTTGGGGACAAAAAAGTGAAGATCAAAAGCTTCTTTCTTATTACCTTCAATAATAGGGATGTGGCGGAGTCACTTACTTTGGTTTGGGAAAAAAATTAAAATTGAAATCATGTTTCAAACTATTATCTGTTTAAAATCTAGGTCTTTGAAATTTCAGGAGTTGAAAATAAGCAGAGATGCTATTCTTGTGCTGGCATTCCTTGCATCATCCGGACAACCTGGTTTTGAAATCCTCGTTGGGCATAGGCTCCCTAGAGGGGTAAACTATCTTATGTTGATTTTGCAATTACTGGTATCAGAGATGGACCTTGAAGCTGGAGCACCCGAGGAGCAGCCTGAAATTTTTAGGGAGAGGTAATAGAACAGGAGTGTCTGGATATAATCATCAACATTATTCGTTCCTCTTGTCAATAAATTTTCATCCTTTTTCTTTTCTCAAAAATATTTTTAAAATTGTACTTTTCAACTGTTTTTCTATTTTTGTTTAGTTCATGCCTTTTTTGAATGAATAAATAAATAAATATATAATCCATGCCTATGTTCCTGTGTTTCTTGCATAGAAGTTGATTATGAGGTTGAGATATTGGCGAAATCAGACATTTAGTTTTATTATTTTTGCATTTTCACAAGTATGTAATGTGATTTAAGTGGTATGACTCATTCTGAGCAATTTGTTGTCAGGACATTTCTAACACGGGAGATACTCATATTACTTAACAGACTAGTGTCCAGTCCTTCATATTCTGCTACTGTTTTGCGCGGTTTAACGAGCACTAGGGATATGGCTGGCTTATCAATTGATGTTGCAAGCAGATTATCTCGGAAAGGGAAGAAAAATGAGCAGCAGGACAACGTGGTGAAGCATATAAGAGAAACTGAAATCGTTGACCTTGCTCGCCTGTTCAAGAAAAGGGTATTCACATATTTAGGAGATGACTTATTATGAAGTCTCATATTCCATTGAAGTTTTTTGTATATATGCATGCATGAATCATTCTACTCAGGTAGGAACGAAGGCAGCGAAGGCACGCTAGTTTTTTGGAGGACTATAGTAGCATGAATTTGTGGTAAGTTTCAGCAGTCGTACCTGGCGGAGAAAATTTTGATTGTTCTGACAAATGTATCTCTTATTCAAAATTTTGTATAGTTGGAAGACTTCATTTAGTGCATAACGTGATATCATTTGGAATGTGGCCATTAATTAAGCAATGGGTGGTCGAATAAAATGATGTCACATTAATCTCTTATTTTTTTGTTGCTTGAAATATATCCCTTTTTATTACTATTTAGAAAATTTATTCTGGTTACTGCGTTACCCCTTGGTCTCTCGGTTCATTCTATTCAACCATTTAAAAAAAAAAAAACAGAAGGGAAGAATCAACCATTTATTATTTTGACTAGGCTATTAATCATTAAGCAAAGCTATTGACTTTGGTAGGTTATCTATTTATTTTTTGGGGGGAATAAGGTTACATGACAAGAAATCAATTTTTTTACACATACAATTCAAGTTGGGTCTTACTTTTGATTTTTTTTTCTCTCCACTATTTAATGGACATATAATATGAGTGTATAGGAAAATGGTTTCTTGTCATTTAACATGATAAAAACAAAACCTTTATTTTTTTGTTATCATTATGAATTCAACGTAAGTGCAAAAATCAGAAATGAATCTTTTCATATGAAAAAAAACATGACATAATTATTTGGGAAGATTATAATCATATAAATATAAATCAAAACGGTTATGATATTATAACTACTTATTTTAACATTTTTTTTAAACTCCTTTGTATTACCATTGATTCTTGCCAAAGAGGGATCCCATGGTTATTCAGTAAGTCCTGAAATGATATAGCAACGATGCTTTAAAACTTTGTTTGTAAGTCACTATGTGCGAGGTCAAGTTTTGGGCTTATATTATTGTGCTTTTAATAGCGAACTTAATTTTCACCTAACTGTTAAGAAAAACAACAAAATAACATTGTTTTGAAAGAATCCTCAATCCTTTTGTTAGTTTACTCTGATATTTTGAATTCACTTATTTTAAAAAATAAATAAATATAGATAACATCTTGAACTTGGAGAGCTTAAAAAAAAAATTCCCCTAAGAATTAAGCAAATTCAAGCTTGCACTAATTTCTATATCTGCATTATTAATTACATATATTTTGAGTTATTTCTCACAGTCATCGCGATCAAACAAGAATTGCTTGTAAACAAATTCCTGACTAAGGTAAAGTCCAAATGTAACAAGCATTTGAATTCCTTCTTCTTTTGTAGCAAATGCAACACGCTTATCGCATCGACCTCTTAGGTCCTCTGAATCCCAGATTTAATGATATAGGTCCTTGACAGCAAACTAACGAGTTGTTCAAAATCTCCAGGTTCGGAAACTTCGCTTCCATCAACAATCAATTTTATAATGGCTTTTCAATTTCGATTGAAAATCTTTGTGCAACTGCATTTTGTAGATCTCAAACAATCGCGAACGGAGAAAGTAGTTTACGAATCGAACTCCTCGTTCGTGAATTTTTGTAATGTTTGTTTTTTGCGTTTGCTATCATGCGGGAAATTCTAATATCTTGATTGTCTCTACTGAATCAAGGTCATGGAAACAAAAGGTTTTGGTGTGTCCACTATCTGGATTAAGAGTTCATTGAGGTAATCTTGTACAACTTGCCCTAGTGCTTGTTCTTTTTAATTTGTTTAACTGCAGTTGTATAATTATTAATCTCATTTGCATTGATAATAAGATATATCTTGTAATAGGTATCACTGATAATACGTTATTCCGTAATCATAAAGAGACAGGGAAAGAATGGGATTTGTATATGAAATATAGGAAGATTTATATACAGTGAGTTAAACGATGATCATTAGTTGATTCATCTATTTACATTAATCGAATATAAACAAAGGTGAATAAAAACCTACACCTTTATTTAGAGTGCTGACTCCTATACAGGGAACGAGTCTGCTCAATATTTTAACATACAATTTAGGTAATTTCTACAAATTATTATTCACCTTTTGTTATTGCACAATTTATAGCTACACCTTCCACAGAGTGAGGCGTTCATGACATCTCATGACAGTGCCAGATCGGGGAGAACAAGCTTTGAAACTGTCTAGTGCATAAACATCCCAACCATCATCTCTCCAATAGGTAGAATAAACCTCTGGTATGTGTGAAACTTTCCAGTAATCTTCTCCTGGACCATGTGGACATATTGTCTTCATCAGTTCATCAGGCATATCAAAAAACTCAAGGACTTTCAGCTTAGTCAAGTGTTCAATGCCTGATGGTACCTTCTCCAACAATTCACAACGCTGGATGATCATCTTTTCTAGGCAAGGCATTGCACCCTTCCCCACTGTCACCTGTTTGAGTCCATCAAATTTGTCAAGACCTAAAACCTTGAGCTTCTTGAACTTTCCACACCTAAAATGCAATGTGTCACCATCATAAGCTTGAAGTAGCTCAAGATGTGCAAGGTTTGGCAAATCCTGCAGAGATACTAGTGGATCATGTTTTAAACAGCTCCATTTCAGAAATAACCTGCTCAGGCTATGAAGAGACTGTATCCAACTTGGTAACTCTTGTAGACGTCCTGACATATACAAGCGTTGAAGAAATGGAGGGGGTGAAGAAATGAATCCCAGATCAATGACTTTATTCTCGCTCTCAGAAGTAACAGAGAGGGCACGGAGATTAGTCAATCTTTCAATGGACGAACAGAAAGCCTTCCCATCTTCCTCTCTGAGTTTCATGATGCCTAACCTTCTTAGTTGACTTAGCTCCCCTAACTGCCTTATTATCATGCCACAGTCTTGGTTTGCCTCCACAAAACAAAGCTTTTGTAGTGACTGTAAATTTCCTATTTCAGGGGGAGCCTTAAAACCATATTTGGAGTGGAACTGTGCATAACCTTTGACTTTGAACTGATATACAAGGAGATGGCGAAGTTTTTTAAGCTTTAGTATATCTGCAGGCAATTCTCTGACGGCAGTCTTCTTAAGATCCAATGTTTCTAGGTTCTGCAACTTCCCTAATATACGACTTGGAACCATAGTCACCTTTGTATTCCTTAAGCTTAGATAACTTAAATAATATAGGTCAACAACTGCTACTGGAAACTTCTTTAAAGGTGCATCTTGAAAATCTAAAACAGTAAGCAGTTTGAAACCGCCTGGAAACAGTTTGCCTAGGCATAAATTTTCAACAACCCCAAATATTAAGAGAGAACGGAGTTGAGAAACAGACCTCTGTTGCTGTCCGTTTGGTAATGCGCTATGCAATGAAAGGCGCCGAATCTTTTCAGGCCATGCCACATTTTGTTCTTTGACAATGGCTGCAAAGTTTTGATCCTTAGACTTCAAAATGATGATCTCCCGTAGAAGATCATGGATTCGCAAAGTTTTGACCCTTCCATCAGATGTTGTCCCTGCTACTATAATTAAGTTTCTGTTCAGGAGCTCCTTGAGGTAATCCTCTGCAACATCTTCCATTGTTTTTCCTTCTTTGGCTTCAATAAATCCTTCTGCTATCCATAAGCGAATCAATCTCATGCGCTTAATCAAATGGTCCTCAGGAAAGATGCTCAAGTACAAAAAACAGTACTTTAAATAGTAAGGCAAATTATTAAAACTGAGGCCAAGTACTGTTTTCAAATTATCAAGTTTGCCATTGCCTTGAATTTCAGCTCCAAGACTACGGCAAATCATATCCCACTCATCTATCCTGCGCTTGTCTTTCGTAGCCAGGACACCACTGATTGCCACAATTGCAAGGGGCAGACCCTCGCATTTTCTTAAGATATATTTACAGATGTCAATCAAATATGAGGGGCATGAGTGACCCTGGAAAGTCATTCTAGAAAATAGATCCCAAGCCTCATCTTCTTTCAAGGGTTGCACATTATACACCTTGCCTTTGGATTCTATGCTGCAAGTAACGGCTAAATCAGATTTACGTGTGGTGATCATGATCCTACTGCTACAATTGTTGTTAGGCAATGCATATTTGACAGCTTCCCATTCATACATATGCCACACATCATCAAATACCACTAGGTACCTCCTCCTCTGCAGTAGGTCTTTAATAATCATCTTCATCTCGTCACTACGCATGCTTTCCAAGCCTTCTGGAACTTGTCGTCTTATTTCAGAAAAAAGTTTCTGGGCCAAGTCTCTGAGAAGCTCCTCAATTTTACAAGATTGAGAAACAGTAACCCAAACACAGGCTTTGAAGTGTTTCTTTACTTCTGGATCATCATATACTTTCTTCACCAAAGTAGTTTTCCCCATCCCTCCCATTCCAGTAACAGAAATTACTTTGCGTCCAGGACAACCTTTAATCAACCACCCGATCAACTGCTTTTTAGGCCTGTCTATTCCCACTACGTCAGTGTTGTCCAGGAGAAGGGCATCTCCTTGTTGATCATGCCATGTGTTACCTGTTTCAAAATATGTTTATCGTACTATTCTGATATTCTCACAAGTGAGAATTGCATAATAGCAAAACAAATACGCTTTTATGCTATTTGCACACTACCACTTAATCACTTTTTTCACACCTCCTTTATTACCGTTGATCTTTTTGCCGATACCATTGATCTAGTATAAACAAAACAAGTGGTGTAATTGGAGGTGTTCAAATTATATTACTAGAAGCTTTCAGATCATAGACTTAAATGGTGAAACATCTGCAGATCGATCTGTATCCCTTTTTTTATTTTTTCTGCTAATAGTAAAATGAAAGAGTAAAGAAAACAGCTCAGCAAGAAATGATGTGATAAGTGTGGGAAAAGGCTTCAATTGGACCAGCAGCAATTTACTGATTATAACTATGGCTACTAATGCAGCTAGAACACTGGAAAAGAGCACGAATAATAGCATAATCGAGTGGTTCCCCTGAATATGACCATTAGGATACTCATCACTTAAGCTTAAAAGGGTGTTTGCATTTAGTAGTACCTGTAGAAATGGAATTTGAAGCCTCTGAAGCAGTGTCAAGTTTACTGAGGAATCTTTTATGAATTGAAAAAATAGTTCCCATGCGAGAGTTGATGCCTTTTAACTCATAAGCAATCCGATAACGAGCTTTCATATTCCTGATCCTGAGAGAAATAGAGAATCCATTTGTTTGATTAGGTGCCTGGACAAGTTCTAATTCGTCAAGAAGATCTTCTGTCTCATGGGCAACATCTCTGACTTGCTTAACCCAAACTTTGAGTTCCTCATCGCTCTCTTCTAATGCATCTGCGACCCTTAAGAAGGCTGTTATGAGCTCTAGCTGTCCTTTCAGATCCACCACTTCTGCTCGAACCCCTGTGAACAATTTCACCTTTTTCTCAAATACAGGCGCAAGCCTTTGGAGAAGAAAACTCACGGCACTCTCTGCCATGATCTCTTACTTTCCAGATTAGTTACTTATCAAAGTAGACTAGTAGAGAGAGACTTTGCTTCTCCGAGTAGATTTCAGACATATTAGCTAAATGAAGTGGCTTGCTTTGTAGTTTCTCATTGTGTTAAAGACAGTCCTTGGTCGAGTTATAACTAGAGCTACCGTGATTGTTGATATTATTCTCCTGACTTATATAATGCAATGACTGGCACACTGTGATTGGCCACCAAGGAAATGAGTCGTTATTCGTCCCATTTTACAAATAAGGCAGGGAATAGAGATTTACGACTTTTTCTTCATAAAAAGTTGAAATATGACAACATCACAAGTTGATAACTAGTTGCCTATATGGAAAGGAATCAAAATACACTACAAAAGTATGTTAGTTCAGCCAAAAGTTATCTTAAAATATTTCTGAATATAGAATCAATAAAAGAATTAATGATTCTGTATGAGATAATTTTATTTTCTACATATACATAAAAATATGTGAATCCCATATAGAGTTATGTGAAAGAAAAGAGAGAAAAAAAAAATACGTTCCACATACTTTTATGTGTGTGTGAGATAAAATTATCTCCTACAACATAAAAAATATTAATCTCTTGAGATTAATATTGTAGCATTATTAATCCCATTTGCATATACCAAAGTATAAAAAGAAAGATACTAGTCAGCTGCAAGAGTTTGGATGCAGTACTAAACATACAACTCGTCTTCTCAAGTGAGGATTATTTTTATTTATTTATTTTTTGCTGCGTACGAGTTCGGACTAGACTCCATGTGAAAGGTTACTGTTAAACGTCATTTTCGGATTAGCCTTACATTCAAAGAATAAGGATATCCTGTAAAAAAGGTACCAGTCTGTTTAGAATTAAAAAAAAGAAAAGAAAAGAATGAAAGATAAATAAAGATAAATTAGATTGACCAAATAAGATCGTCATTTAAGGGCTGAAAATAGAGCACTCGGATATGCTGAAGTATATAAGAAGAAAGAAGAAGTCTTTGCAGGTATTTTTGGAAAAACTGGCACACATTAGTCACACACTAGAAGCTGAAATACATGGAAATTATAGGAAACTCGCACTTTGCCTTAAAACAGTGGGTTTTCTCATGGTGTCATGGTGTGGACATAATGGGCTTTATGTTTGACAGTAATACGAATCTTATAACTTGTTCAACGAATCCAACTAGCACGTACAATTTAATTGTAGACTTGTGGAAGAAAGATTAACTTGGAAGGAACCAAATCATATTATAAGGACAGATTGATTAATGTTCGAAGCAAAGTCAAAGACACGCTTACATAAGGTTAGGGGACTTATGATGAGGCTTGTCGATCCGATTTATATAAGGGCAAAGAAGTTTATACCTTGAGTTGTAAGAAATGCCTTCTACTAGTAGAACGCAATTTTTAAACATTTTCCATTTAAAAATAAGGTTTGATATTTCTCATGTTACAGGAGACAATAATTATTTCCTACATATACATAAAAATATGCGAGGTGATATGAAGAGAAGATAGAGAAAAAAAAATATGAGTCTCACTTATTTTTATATGTGCAGTGTAAGAGATAATTTTATCTTTTATAATATGAGAGATATTAAACCTTTTAAAAAAAAGGATTGAAAACAAAAGTTGAACACTACACAAGGTTTCTATGAAATATCGAACCATACAGATTTCAAGTAGGTCAAGTCTAGTTTTTTAATTATTTTTTAGGAGTTAATTTTTTTATTAATCAGAAGCAATGATTTTTAAGTGGTTAGTAAATACATAAAATATTAATATTGAGTTAACAAACTGGTTAAATATATTATTAACGATTGCTGGTATGTTTGCCATTTCAAACATGAAATTCTGTAATATTTCACAAAATTAGACGAAAACAACATTCATTGTTATGACCTGATATATCATCTTGGGTTTTATTCAAAAGTGAGCAACTTAAACTTTATACACCAGAACTACTTTAGGTATTGAACACTGGAGTATATTTTTCATCCACATGTCAATTCCAACCCCCCAAAATAAATAAATAAAATTAAAACAATGCAAGATAAGTTCATAAATTTTTTTTTTAAAATTGAGAAAATGAGAATTTGAATACAATTTTCGTCAGCCTTAACCTACTTTATCTTTTTAGAACAAGTGGCCAATATATCTTCCTCTGTTACCACCTCTGCTCAATTATTCTTCTAGGCATCGAAGAGAAAGTAAGAACATAGATCCGTGGAGATGACACACTAGTAGGACATTGAGCCGAAAAGATAGGAAAAATCATTCTTTTTGGGTCAAGGTTATGTGATTTGACAAAGCTGTTCCAGAATATCAAGGGCTAAATTGGATTAGAATTTAAAAAAAAAAATTGAGATAAATAATTTTATAGATTTTAAGAGACTATTTAGAATTTGAGGAATTTTAAAGATTTTTTTAAAAAAAAAAAAATTTACAATCAAGATTTTATAAGATTGAATTTTAAACGATAAAGGACAATATGGATTTATAAGATTTTAAAAAATTATATGAAATTTTAACAAACATTCAAAATTTCAAGAGTCGATAAAAAAATAACAAAGAAATGCAATGATATTAATAAAAAAGTAAAACCTAATATAATTTTCTCAATCAGTAAAATTCATGATAAAATTCTGTTTGAAATTTTTTGCAATTGATCTTGTAAATCTTAGGATTTTTGTTCTACGTGATGAGAGTTTCCTAACCATATATGATATGCATGTTTTCATTGAGTATTCCAAGAAAATTTCAAATATGAATTTATGGGTTTTATTATAAGAAAGTTTAGAAAATTTCTCTAATTATTTTCAATCGATTCATTGAAACTTTTTTTTTTTGGTAAACGATGTACTGAAACCTTAAATTTCTTTAGGGCTTTTCAAAAACAAGTTTTTAGTGATATATAATACAAAAATTGTTTGAAATCATTTCCTATAGCGGAGAGATTTTATTCATGAATGTATTGTTATTAACATATGGTTCATATTATGAAAGTTTCAATATTTTTTTAAATTGATCTTATTTCATTAATGTAAAACGAAAATTGGTTTGAGGGTTTTTGTTCCCCCTTTGTTTTTCCACTATTTAATGTTATTTTTAATACAAAAATCACACATTTTTGTGCCAAGAAAAATCACGACCAATAGCTTGAAAAATTATTTTTTAGACTTCCAAAAACTCTTAATTTTTTTCTCAAAAATATTCTATTTTTGAGATGGATTAGATTAAAATCTTGTTGGGTTGTTGTTTCTAGGTTGTTTGTGATGAAAATCGCTAAAAAATCTGTTATTTTTTAACTTTGACGAAACTCCCATGACGGAATCCGATTTCGAGCATGTCGACCCATCAAAAGAAGAAGAAGACATTGCAATTGAGAAATCTCAAAAAATTCTCGGAGTTAAATGAGATTGTGAGAGAGACATCTATTTATATTTCTCATTAAATAGTCTCACGAAATTCACACCAATAGAAAATCCATTAAAATAGTCAAATTTTTTAATACCACAAGATTATTATTTTTTTGTTTAAAATTCTGATTGAATACCAACAGATTTGGATAAACACTAGAATAATCTTTTAAAATTCTAATCGAATACTAAATGATTTTTTTTTTCAATCGTTTAAAATCCTAATTGAATACCAATAGATTTTTTTATCCAAAAATAATCCATTAAAATCATTTGAAATATCAATCCAATACATCCCGTAAGTTGAAGCCGTCTAAGCCCGATAAACCCATCAGAGTTCTAGATGAGAAGGATTATGAGCCCATCATGATGAAGCCCATATTGATGATTCAAACGATAAGTATACTTTAACCAGATATGCAATAATGAACCAGATAGACTGATCTTTTTCTGTTTGGGTTGGGCTTGTAAGCCCGCTGCAGCGAGTGTGTATGAAGTTGTTCTTTTCCGCCCTAGTCCATACATTAGTTTTTTTTTATTCTTCTTACGCAGTTAATACTTTTGTAGTGAACGTGAACCCATAAGCCATAACATAAGCAACCTCATTTGGCATTATTATTCTATTACTTTTGCTTAGTGTCTCTTTTCACTAGAAGAACTGATATATGATGAGGAAAAAACAACCATCAGCCTAACAGTCTAATACTTGTCACAGCTACAAACACACATGATCCGTTGGTAAAACAAAATATTGAACAGTTTTATTCAGTAATCTCAGAATTCAAGAAGCGAATTATGCTTCCTGATTTTATTAGGTTGAAATTTCAAAGAAATTTGCTGCCACTTACGAATACAATCTGATGGAAAACAAAAAATTACCATCACTTACATATGCAACCTGATGGAAAACAACAAGTTGCCATCATCACTCGCATATGCATTATGTTAAAATAATAATATCAAAATCAAAGTTAAACCTTCCAGAGAGTACGAAGTTCAAGACTTCTCATTGCAGCACTATGACTGGAATCATTCTCTCTCTCCCCAGAAGTCTCTAATGAGTAGACATCCCAACCACCATCCCTCCAATATGTGGAATAAACAACTGGGACATGTTGTACTCTCCAGTATTCTTCTCCTCCATTTGGACGCAGTGTCTTAATCAATTCTTCAGGCATATCAAAAAACTCAATTTTTTTTAGTTTACTTAGGTGTTCAATGCCTAATGGTACCTGCTTGAATGAATCACAGCGCTGGATGATGAGCTTCTTAAGACCAGGCATTGCTCCTTCCTCCATTATCATAGATTTCAGCCCATCTAAATCATCAAGGCCTAACACCTTCAGACTTGGAAACCCCTTTGCCTTGAAATGCAATGTCTCACCAACATACACCTGAAGAAACTCAAGATGTCTTAGATTTGGCAAATCTTGAAGATGCACCAGAGGATCCTCCTTTAACCTGCTCCATTTAAGAAACACTCGGGCCAAGTTCTTGAGAGAACTTATCCAATGGGGCAGCTTCTCTAAACGTCCACTCAAGTATAACCTCTGAAGATACTGAGGAGGCCTTGAAATGTTGTGTATATCAATTATCTCATCATCTTCAATTGCAGTTATAGACAGTGATCTGAGATTGATCATCTTCTCAATGGATGAACACAAAGCAGCACAATCTTCTTGCTTCATCTTTCTAATTCCCAGCCTCCTAAGTTGAGTGAGTCTTCCAAGCTCAATCATCAAGGCTTTACTTCCTTGGTCTGCCTCTATAAAACATAGCTTTTGCAAAGATTGCATATGTCCTATTGGGGCAGCCACCTTGAAGCCATACTTTGAGTGGAAATAAGCATAGGATTCAACTTCATAACGATACACCAGAAGATGGCGTAATTTGGTTAGCTCCACAATTTCAGCTGGCAATTCAGTGACACAGGAGTGTTTAAGATCCAATGTCTCCAGGTGCCGCAGCTTCTTAATGGAACCTGGAATGTTCTTCACCTTTGTGTTCTTCAAACTTAGATACTGCAGAAGATAAAGATTGACAATTTCAGCAGGAAAAACCTCCAAAGGTGCATCCTGCAAATCTAACACCGTGAGTAACTTAAAACCAGTGGAACATAATGTAGGTATAGAGAAATGGTCAAGTGAATCTGATAAGGCAAACACTAGCAGAGAACGAAGTTGGAATGTTGTCCTATTTTGTTGCACGTTTTGTAATGTGTTTATGACTGATAGGCGTCGAACTCTCTCTGGCCAGATTATGTCTTGTTCTTTGGCTATTGTTGCAAAGTTTTGTTCCTTTGACTTCAAAGTCACAATCTCCCTTAGAAGATCATGCATGCGACAAGTCTTCATCCTGCCATCACTGGTTTTTGTTGTCACTTGCAGCAAACTTCTGTCCAGGAGCTCCTTGAGGTAACTATCTGCAACTTCCTCCAGTGTCTTTCCATCTTCTCCTTTGACAAACCCTTCAGCTATCCATAAGCGAATCAATCTCATATGCTCAATAGCATGAAATTCGGGGAAGATGCTTAGGTACAACAAACAGGATTTAAGATAGTAAGGTAACTCATTGAAACTCAAGGAAAGAACTTTCTTCATATCCTCCAATTTGTCATTGCCTTCAATTTCAGAACCAAAACTTCTGCATACCATTTGCCACTCTTCTATGTTTGTCCTGTCTCTTGTAGCCAAAGCACCACTGATTGCCACAATTGCCAGTGGCAACCCCCCACACAGTTTCAAGATACTTCTGCATACTTCTTCCAGATGAGGAGGACATGAGTTGCCCTGAAATGTCTTCCTACAGAAAAGAGACCAAGCTTCTTGCTCAGGTAAGAATTCAAGGTTGAATTGCTTACCGAATTCAGCACATGAAGACAAGGCAACATCTTTCTTGCGTGTGGTAAGCATTACTCTGCTGCCACGGTTGTTATTAGGCAAAGCAAGTTTGACAGAATCCCAAACATTCACATGCCATACATCATCAAGCACAATGAGGTACCTGCTTTGCTGAAGCAAGTTCTTGATCACTTCTTTTAGCTTGTTACTTTTCATTTGTCCAACTGCTTCAGGAGCTGGTTTGCCAATCGCATTATGGAGCTGTTGAACAAGGTCCTTCAGGAGCTCTTCTATCTTGAAAGATTGAGAAACATTAACCCAAGCATGAATCCTGAAACGCTTCTTCACTTTTGGATCATCATAGACTTGTTTTGCCAATGTTGTTTTCCCCAACCCTCCCATTCCATAAATTGGAATTACTGCACGACCTGCTTCATCTTTGAAAAGCAAATCACTCAGCTGCTTCTTGGGTTTGTCAATACCAACTAGATCAGCTTCCTCTAGCAGAAGCGCATCTCCTTGGCTTTCAAGCCTTGGTGACAACTTTTGACTCGAACTTGAACCTCTCCCATACATGCTGGGACGTCCCTTTGAGATAATTTCCACTTTGGATTTGATACCTTGTATATCTGTAGCAATCCGGTGCCTAGCTTTCATGGTCTTTAAGGAAGAAGCAAACTTATGAAAAGAAGAATTGTTGCCTTGGCCATGTTGATCAACAAGGCAAAGGTTGAATTCATCTATAGCATCTTCCATGTCATGAGCAATATCTCTCACTCGTTTAACCCATGCTTTGAGTTCAGGGTCTTTGTCTTCCAGAGCATCAGCCATCCTTAAGATGGCCTTGTGGCGTTCAAGTTCATCTTTGATGTACTGAACATCTTCACGAACCCCCCTTAGCAGATTCACTTCTTCTTGAAGTAAGGATGTCAGCTTGTCCAATAAAAACGATACTGGACTATCTGCCATCTTCTTTTTACTTCTTTAGGGAATAGTTGCAAGAACTTGATAATGAGAGATTTCTGGTTTTTGTTTTTATTTTGATAGGAATAGTTGCAAGGTTTTGATGAATAGATTTCTGAATTACTTTCTGGTCTTATATTAGCTATGTTCATGATTACTTGTCTGAATTAATATTCCCTGGAATGTGCTCTTTGTAACTTGTAAGCGCCGCCAAGGAAATAGTCAACTGCCATTATTTTATTTTAAGTCCATTTGCTTCCAGGTCACAAACTACTATCTTAAAACCATGTCCTTTCACGATGAAAAAGATGTTAGATAGTATTTCACATAACAAAAAAAGAAAAGGTGACTAGCAAACTTTTATGAAATTAACAAGTCAAAATTTTCATAAAAAAAAATATCCATTCGTATATCCAACGCGGCTTAAGTTTATAAAAAAAAAATTGTGGTTGCAAATCACTTTCGGTGTATACTTTCTGACATCGAAATTCTTTTTTTTTTATTGCTCCACTGGTTTTCGAAGTTTCGCCCCGACTATGTCGGGTCCGACCCGGTAGGTTACCTAGCATTGGCAGGTGAGTCTCCCAGCGAAGATTTTCTACATACACAAGGTCTCGAACTCGAGTCCTTGCTTAAGCGAACCCAAGTACCTTACCACTTGAGCTAATCCCCGTTGGTCCTGACATCGAAATTCTAGAGACTAGTTCAAGTCGTGAACGTGTTGCCTCATTTGTGTTGCATCAAAATCTTGCATAGATATTATTATATTTTATTTTATTTTATAGTAGATACATAGATATTGATTCGACTCACAGACGTGTGGTGGTGTTGTGTAAGGACTAGAGCGCAAGGAATGATATAAATAAAATTGATGTATACTCAGTCAAGTCTCTTTAAAATAATAATAATGATAATAATATATCTATACCGATATTTATACATTATTATAAAGGGATTCTCCACTTTTGTGTTCCAACTTTTATGTTTTTAATTTTATCATTATTAATTACTCATTTAATGATTTATAAAAAAGATAAAAGTATAAATACGTTTGTCCTTTAAAAGACATAATTTTGTGTTATTTCAAGTGAAATAACTATGTTTTAATAATTATTTTATCTTTTATCTTTTCCACAATATTACATTTTTCTCTATCCTCCTAATTTTGTGGAGAAGAGAGAAGATAAAAAAATCATTAAATATGTCTTATTTTTACATAAATTGTATCTTTTAAAATGACAAACGTATGTCTTATTTTTTAATTATTTAAAAATTTACAAATAAACATAAAATGGATAAATATTTTTTAAATACTTTTATCTTTAAATACTTAATTCATTATACAGTAATAATTCGCTTTAATAACTCTTTAGTATTATTTCATTTATTTTTGTCTTAATAAATAAAAAATTGAAAAATGTAAATTGACTTGTCAATCTATACGCCATCAATACAAATAAATAATAATAATACTCAACCATTTCTTTTTTCATCACCTTTGACTTGATTGGAAGAGAACCGGGGATACAACCTTTGACATGGCGTAGCGAAATGCCTAACCGCCGGAAGTTGGAGTATCTTAAAGGGCATTGACCAAATAAAATTGGTTACATTCACCCAATACTGTTTTAAAATAAAATAATAATAATAATAATCCAACTACCTGGAATTTCCCTTCAGCTTCTATGTGGTTACTTCATCATTTCCTGAATACATTTTTTCGTTGAAAATGTTCATCGCCTCTTCTTTTGAATAACACATGGCTTCTAATACGTCCAAACTTCTGAATTGCCTGAGTTTGCATAGGTTACAGGCAGCGTGGTGGTTCTATTTTGGGTGTTTTCTTTATGGAATTAATGTTTATTATGTTGTAAAAAATAATTAAAAAAAGATCACCAATGCCATTGTAGTTTTTTGTTTATCACATATGCCCTTATAATTTATAAAAAGTAAAAAATCATATGGGCATACATGATAAAAAAATATACCCTTTTACAAATCACAGAGGTATATGTAATAAAAAAATCACAGAGGCATAAGTGATTATAGAATAAATCACAGGGGCATCGATGAACTTTTCCCAAAATAATTTTATCTCTTATACATACCATGTGAGATCATATGAAGAGAAAAGAGAGCAAAAGAAAACATGGGTCCCGCACACACACACATATAGGGGATACGTTATTCTGCGTACCATTATTTTGCCTATCCCTTCTAATACTGTTCGATTACAATATAATACAACGGTCCATATTTGCAAAATAAAATAAACTCTTTTTCTCCTTTTTTTTTTTTTTCCTCACCTCCTTCCACACTCTTTCTCTCTCCTCCCCTTTCTCTCTTCCTTTGCGACCAATATCTATATCTATTTTTTTTCCTTTCTCGCTGATGTCTTCCCAAGTGAACGCGCAAGTGGCGGAAGCATTTGAAATCAATCACCAGAGCAAATGATGTTTACCAACATAATTTTGGTCATCACCCGAGAGATCAATGTGTGGAATGTGAAAAAATGTTTTTATTGGTGTACTATCTAACAGGGCAACTCATATGTTTTATTATGTTTCATGAGGATCAGATTTTAAAATATTAAGAAAGAAACGAGATTGTACTAAACAACAGGGGGCAGTAAAATTCAATCCCAATAGTAGTAAAATTACCAAACCAAACCAGTGACTACACCCCAATTTTTGAAGCTAATGTTACAAGAAGAAAGAAATTTTCAAACGGCTGGAGAATTTGGGTTTGCGCAAGGGTTGTAAAGGCGACATCTTCTTCATCGCAGGGGAGGAGAGAGAAAGGGTTGCAGTCACTGAGATTGAGGAAAAGAGTAAAAGGGTTTTTATTTATCTTTTGAATCTAAACCGTTGGATGAGATTATAATCCAATGGTGTTGAGAGAGGTAGGTAAAGGTAGACAAAACGAGAGTAGGTAGAATATATATATATATAGGGGAGATGTTATAGTTACTACCTCTTTTTTTTACTACCAAATCTTAACAGTTGATTTCCGTTAATCTAACAGTTATAATTTATTGAAAATTAATAATTAATTAATAAGTATGACCCAATAAATTACAACCGTTAGATTGTCGAAAATTAACGGTTAAAATTTAGTAGTAAGAAAAATAGGTATATATAGAAGATAAAATTATTTTTTATAACATAAAAAACATTAATCATTTTTATATATATAATTAGGGTTATATTTATTCCATTCAATATGAGATAAACCAAATTCTTACACACACATAACAAAGGTGAGTCCTACCTTTATTTTTTTTTTCCAATTATTTGTGAGTCTTTCTTATAATTTTGTTTCAGTAACGTAAAATAACTCATATCCAATAACATAAGAAAAACATTTCGAGTACCCAAAGCGATTTATATTTTCTTACCAATCAAATTAGCTTCTTTAGCATCCGGTTCAGCAGCGACATTCTCGTGGCATCAAATGTGTAGCCTAACTACTAGCTTTTAAGTACTCAATGTTTTCAGACATTTTAACATCCCAATTTTTGTTGCTAAAAAGACATAACTTCATCCTTTAAAACCATTTTCCCTTATAACTAAACTCCTCATTACTTATTATTATTTTATACTTAAAACTTTTAAAGCATTGTCAAAATATTTTATCTATATTGTTGGGTTTTTCTTTTTGTTCACCTCTTTCTTGCTATGGAATGACCACAGTAAAAGAACAATGAAGTTTTGAAAGGGATGCTATGAATCGAAAAAAGAGTTTGATGAATGGAGTACTTTTGCCTTATATTTGTTCAAAGCAATAGTGGAAATTGAAAATATTAATTTTTCTTGTGCTACAATTCTCATATCTCTAATGATTACTAACTTTCTACAGAATGATGGTATGGGGGATAAATAGGCAAGAGACAATTATTGAATAATAATGTAATAGGCCACGCACATTTGTATTCATATGGGAAAACTATCTCTAGGATGTGAGACACCAAAGAAAATATGAAAATGTTGATCTTAGTAAAATAATAAGGAAAAACTTTCCATTATTTGTCCTGTGATAATTATATTAAACACCGGGATCATTCTCTTGATTATTTCAATTTCAGTCAAGTCTATTAAGATAAATGTTTCTAAAAACTTAAAGCATTTTAATTAGCAAAATAAAATATCAGTTATTATTGATTTAATGGAATGCATTTTGTTTTCACTTTTTAATAAGATGATGCAATAGTTGCAACTAGTAGAAAATTCCGTTAGTAAGCAGAATCATCAGGGACAGCAGCTATAAGCAAATTAGTAATGTTGTATTCAACTTAATTAAGACCAACATGCGTTCTTAAGGAGAACTTGAGCATCCTAATACCCGCTGACCGCTGTACCCACAAAAAATAATAAATAAAAATAAAGAGACAAACCAGAGATAGTCTTTAGGCTTATTGCAGCAAGCTATGGTTATTGGTTAGTGCATCTTTCTATACGTTTTCATTATGAAAACGAGGTAATCCACAAATTGCAATATGGCCACCGTCTGGTTCATATAATGATCCTATCTAATAAATCTTAATTTAAAATTTAAATGTCATAATTAGATTCGGATCGTGATTTTGAGTGTTTTGACTGTGATCATGACTAGGTCATGAACAGTGCATTCTGTCGAATGTTCTACATTGTTGTGAATCAACCGGTAGAGCTCAGAATGAGCAAAATGAGTTTAGAGATCTAATTTGGCAATTCTAATGCCAAATATGAATTCAGAATGAAAAATTATATAGTCTGACACTTTCTGTGAAAATCTCGTGAATAGTGTTTTCTGCCGAGTATTTTGTATTGCTGTTTAAGCAACTAGTAAAATCCAAAACTAAATAATTGATGAAATAAGAGTAAGAAAGTTCAATATATGCCAAACAAGTCATAATAGAACAAAAGTATTAAGTTTATAAGTTTTACAGTTTCGTGTGCAAACAGTGTACAGTTAGTGATTCACATTGCATTTCGTCAAAAACGGTGCAGAAACCTTACTATGACTTG